CCCCGCCCGCCGAGGCCGAGGGAGGGGGACGCGCTCCCGGCGCTCGGCTCTCCCTGCCGCGCCTCCCGGAGCCCGGGCGGAGCGGGCTCGGTGCGGGATCTGCGCGTCGAGTTCCGTGCCCCGTGTGTTTATTTTCTGAAACGTTCACTAATACGCCCGCCGAGCCGCCTACGAACGCGGAAAGCCTCTTGGACTCGCCTCGCTGGGTCTGGTTTTCACCGCTCCTCACTCATCCCCGGCGACCTGCAGGCCCCAGGACCGGGTGGCCCATTGCCTGCCGCCTGCGTGCGCCGACTCCCGCGTGGATGAACGCGTCTGGGGCCGAGCGGGGTCCACCGAGGGGTTGGGCAAACGTTGTTGCTCCGAGTGATGACGGAGACCGCGGGGAGGTACAGTGGCTCTTCAGCACGCTTACATTTTGGGTCCCGTGTCTAGTTTTTGGATGACACAACCCTCTCCACAACAAAAGCAATTTGAACTCGCACCCGCCTGATGATGTGCACACACACGGGAAATACCTTTTTGCAACAGTCAACATTTTCTCTTGGTCTGTGTCTGGCGTGAAATCTTGGGTAATTACCATAATGTTGAGTTATATTTAAAGAATTGTTTTGAGGAATACATTTCACATGAAGCAAAAGAATGGTTACCAGCGATATAAAGAAAATATTGAAGACCATGGTAAATTAGTGATACTCCCCAGTTCTTCCTGCACCTTTACATGTCTAGCATTCCATTTAAAACTCTTACTCATTAATGATTTAATTATTATATCTGTGTCCCACATTTAATTATTCAAAAGAAATGCAACAAATCCCATAAAATGCCATTTATAAATTATACATCAGAATATTTCTGCTAATTAAATCCCTTGCTTTATTAAACTATTTGAGCAGTTACTGGTCAATTCTTGGACCTCATCGTATTTTCCCTAAAAGAAGCATTTGGCTCGGTTGGTCTTGGTCTCTCTCTGCCACTCAGAGCAAGGCACTCCCCTGCTTGGAACCATTCTCGGATAAGTAGAATGAGGTATATCCATACCAAGGATCATTATTAAGCCATAAAAATGGCCTTCCTCGCTGTCCCCAAGAAAACTCTGCCAAGTAGAAAGTATAGCTCAGCTGCCTAAGCGCCTGCCTGGTGAGCCAAAGGCTGTGAGTTTGATCCCTGGTCCCGGAAAAAACATTGCTGCTGAACTGTGTGCTTTAAATGAATAGAGTATGCAGTATGTGAATTTTACCTCAATAAAGCTGTTAAAAGTAAAGATGTGACAACCAAATGCTGCATGTGACTCTTCCTTGGATTATAAAGAGGGGAGCTGTGAAATGACATAATGACATTATAAACTTTTAAAGCTATAGCTGGGCCTTTCTTAGTGCAGCCTTAGTGGCCCCAAGTGGTAATTATTAATATTATAGACAGCATGAAATTTGATTTTGCCCCTTGTGCAAATTATTTGTTTAAATGGTAATAAAATTTTGCGAACTTTTTTTTAATAAGGATTTTTTTTTTTGTTCCTCGCATGCCTTCAGGGCACGTTTGGCCAGCGGGAGAGTTGTGAGGTTCGAACTCCAGCCACCTGAGGCTGACAGCTTTGTGGAAGCAGCCACTTAAAGGACTGAGCTAGGCCCAGGCCCCCTGCGAACTCTTTTTTAAAGGGTCTTACTGAGACAGTTATAAAAACTTGAATATGGACTGTCTGTTCATATCATTGTATTACAGTTTTTAAAAATTCCTCCGCGACTCCCCAATAAAAGCTCTCACAATGTGGGTATATCTTTCCTCTCACCCTCCCTTACTGCTCCAACCTAGGCTCCTGCCTTCTCTCTTGCTCCCCTGTGCAGGTCATCCTAGCCTCCTCCCTCTTCTGGAACAATCTTAGCTCTTGTGCATTAGCTGAGAAAGCTGTTCCCACAGATGCCCACATGGTTCATGCACTCTCTCCCCTCATCTCTTCAGAGGGGTGTTTCCCTGGCTACTGCGGACAAATCTCTCCCACTCTCCTCACCTTGGCACACACACATTTTTTGTCCTCTTTCCCTGACTGGCAGTGGATGTTGTGTTGGGCTTTCTATTATCATAGCAAATGTCTGAGGTAATCAGCTTGTAAAGAGAAAAGGATTGTTTTACCTCACAATTTCATGAGTCCCAGTCCATGGTCGTTTGGGCCTGTTGCTTTTGGGCTTGTTGATAGCACTTCATGGATGAAAGTGTGTGGGAGAGTAAGTGGCTCATTTGATGGTAGCTGGGGAGCAGAGGAGTAGGGGAAGGAAAAAAGAGCAAAAAAGGAAGACAAAAGGAGAGAAAAAGAAACAGGGAGAGAGAGGAAGAGAGATCCCACAATCCTCCTTGAGTGTGTGACCTATAAACTCCCACTAGGCCCCACCTCTTAAAAGTTTCCACTGCCTCTCAATAGGGCCAAGATGAGGACCAAGGCATTAACCCCTGAACCTGTGGGGGAACACTCCAAATCCAAACGGTAGTGAAGTCTAAGTACTTAGCTAAAAGCACAGAGTTCTTGGGGCTGGGGAGATGGCTCAGTAGGATAAGCGCTTGACTGGCAAACGCAAGGATCTGAGTTCAATCCCCAGTTCCGCCAAAAAAAAAAAAAGAGCAGAGTAGGGGTTAACGAGGGCTGGAGTTTTTTGCAAGTGGTATTACAGAGGGAACAAGTGTGGGGAATAGAAGAAATACGCAAGGCAGTGACATGGGACTGTGTGATAGGAAGTGAGGACAAAAGGAGTGTGAGAAGCTGGTCAGCTGACAGGATCAATGGTTTGAAGGTCCTGGTGAGGTCCCTGGATTGCTAGAGTTGGAAGCCTTCTATAAAAGCAAGGGAGTGGTCTTTTAAAGGGATGCTTAACACTTACAATGGCTAGAGTTTACTGAGCATTTAGCTGGTATCTGGTACAGTGCTAAGTGCCTGAGAGCCATCCTCCCCTTATAGTCTCAGAACCCTCCTGTGCTGTCCTGAGAGCCATCCTCCCCTTATAGCCTCAGAACTCTCCTGTGCTGTCCTGAGAGACATCCTCCCCTTATAGCCTCAGAACTC